GTGAGGGCCCCCGGGCCAGCGAAGCCCCCTCGGGTGCAGGAGGTTCATCTTGGGTCAGGGTCCAGCTCAGCTACCCGCCAGCCTGGAGAAGGACATCAGGCACCCGCCGAGCTCCCCAGGCAGCAGCAGCGACACCCCGAACCACCCCAGGAGCCGGTGGTCAGGGCAGTGCCACCACACAGGCAGTGGGGGGACAGCCAGCCCTGGCAGGGCTGCCCAGGCCCCAGCTGGGTCACAGCTCATCTCCACCGGTGGCATCCCTGGCCCCGCTGGGCTGGCCACGCGGCCGTGCCGGAGCAGAGGTGGAAGCAGACCACAAGCAGGGATGGCTCCGCGTCCATCAGACTGGGGCTGGGCACCGGGGGGGGCCGCTGCCGGCGGAGAGGGGCTTCAGGCCTTCCTCCACCACAGCCTTGCGTCCCCTGGGCCCACCAACAGCAGCCGCCGCTCCCTGCCAAGGGTGATCGACGGCAGCCATGAGCAAGAAGAGGGTGACACCCTCCAGCCTCACAGCCCACCCTCCCAGCCGGAGGAGCAGCACGGGAGCCGGACAGGGCCCTGGACTATTATTGCAAGGTGGGGTCAGCAGCCGGCTCCTGTGACCAACAAACCATCTCCTGGGGCACGTTTGGACGCTGACAGAGGTGAGGGAAGCACAGGCAGAGAAGGCAGCAAAGCCTCAAGAGTCCAGCCTGGCTAATGGCCCGTCCAGAGTTACCAATGGCCACAACAAAACAACTCCAGAGGGACCAGCCAGCCACGACGGAGGGACCTGGCAGGAGTTTCTTCACAAATACAGAGACCTTCTTGCAGGTGCTGAACACTTGCTGCCCAGAACAGAGAGGTGCCAGGAGCCCAGGGACAGAAAGGGGACAGCAAGCTTCACCCAGGGACTTCTCCAGCCACCCCAGGTCCTATTCAGGTGGCTGCAGGCTCAATGAGGGGCTGAGCAGAGAGAGCGCTCCAGCGTGCAGTGGCCGGGAACCAGCAGGCACGCTGTTCCCAGAGCCGAGGGAAGGACAGGGGAAAGCTGCCGCGGGCGGGCAAGGCAGGCACTCCGGGAGGGCAGGGGCTGGCCAGCAGCCGCCCAACACACCGGCAGACAAGAGACATGCCGTGTCTGTCAGCACCGCAGCTGCGGAGGCGAGTGCCCGTGCAGATGGATGGCACGGCGCGGCTGCAGACGTCAGGGGAGCTGCAGCGGGCCCTGGGAAAGCTGGTGCACCTGCGCTGCTGCAGCTGCCCCACGATGGGGCTGAAAGACAGCTCAGGAGCATCTGTGTGTGTAACGACAGCTTTCAGCACTGCCACCATCCTGCCCCCCCCGCTGCTCAGGCGCAGGCATGCAGAGAACGGCAGGGTCTGGCTAAAAACCCACCTGGGACTCCCCGGGTTCAGGGGGCTGAAGTCCTGCACCGAGCCCTGCATCACCCTCCTCTCCCAGGACAGGACAGGCAGTCTCCAGGGAAGATTCACTTCTCTTTTCACCACGGGCATCCCCGGTGCTGCCCCACACTCCCTCCCGGGCAGCGGGCGCTGCCTGCCCCATCCCGTGCTCCCAGCACGCTGCTCAGAGCACAAACCGCACAGCAAACAGAGCGGGGGCCAGACGCGGGGTACCGCTCTCCACCCACCGCACCGCTCAGTTCAGCACCCCTCTCTGCAGACACCGACGGCACCAAAACAGCAGCAAACCAGTCCGCACCTCTCTCGCCCTGCTTGCACCGAGTCTGCCACACACCCTTCCCATCCACCGAGGCACAGCAGCGCAGAGCGACGGCATCCCTGCAGGACACAGAACTTCCAGGAACATGGAGATCTTTGAAAAAAATCCTAGGCGGCTGAGCCAAACATCCACGTGAGGTGGTGCTTGGGCAGGCCAAATCCTTATTTTACTACAGAGCACTGAGGCCGTCCACTAAACTGGTAGAGCAAGAGCTGCACTGGTTTCCACTGGGAGCCCAGAGAGCGGCAGTTCAGACACCCAAGTCCCTGCAGCAGATCTTCTTGTACCCCACAGACCGTGAACGTCCACCCAAACCTCTTCTCAGGGAAGGTCTCTCTGACACCAGGGAAGAGGGTTCCCATCAGACACCTTGTTTCCACTCAGAGCGAAGGTCCCTTTTTGGGAAGGGCTTTTTCCCCTCCTGCTTTTTGCCCCCTCCTTGCTCCGAGACCTGCCTGAAGTGCAGCGCAAGAGGGGGATGCCCCATTCGGGGCTGGCTCTGTGTTCACTGCTCCCAGAGGTGAGGAGGGTTAGAGGCCCGTGAGATCAACGATGGCTTTAATAAAGATGGCATCATCACGCACGTAGGAGTTCTTGGCTTCCATCACGGAGACGGGGCAGAACAGTGGGCAGCCGCTGGCAATGTTCATTTCTGTGATGGGTCGCTGGAAGGAGGAGGATGTCACATCGGGTCGGAAGGCATCGATGATGTGCTCCCGGTTGTTCTGATCCAGGAGCATCAGGGTTACCTGTGGGGAAACATGAAAATATACAAGAGCAGCTGAATAAAAAGCACATGGAAACCCAGCCCGGTGACCTTCCCACTTGAAGCCTGTGAAACGTGGAAGTACCAATGCAACCACAGCCTCATCACGCACCTACAAATCTGAGAAACGCCTGTAAGTAGGGTCAGCGGAGAACGTCATCTCGGTGACATTCTGCAGAAACCTTCCCACATCCTGCCCTGTCACTAGAAACTTCTGCGTGGCAGCACAGGGCTGTCAGACTGACTCTGAAAACCTACAACTGGCCGGTGCGGCATTCGCTTCCAACACCAATACCCCACGCAGGTATTTCATTAAGTCGCAGAGTTGCCGTCCCCTTACGAAAGAAGGCGGCCCCTCTCTCTGCATCAGTACTTTGCCCGCTCAGCCCTGAAGTGTTTCGCAAACCTGCAACGCCCAGGAACTGCAACCTGAGCTTCTGACGCCAAGTGAGCATCAGCTGCACCCTGAGTACCGAGGCCACGACAACCTTCCCTCGCCCCAAATTCATGCAGAGGCTCCGCTCGCTTTCCAAACACGCTGCTGCTCTCCTGCCGCAGCCTCTGCCGTTTCGTGCCCCTGCCCTGTAGCATGCTTGGTGCTTTCAGCACAACTGGGGAATCCCCAGGACGGCCGACAAATCAAAGTCCTTCCTTCTTCTGCTTGCTAAGTAGGCCAGACCGATGGCACCTAGTGGCTCAAGTGGGTGCAAAACTAGAGAGGCATGTCGCTGGGCATAGAGGCTTTGTCCCAAACCTACCTTCTGGTTGAAGGGCCACCGCAGAAGTGCGTCGTTGGGTCCTTTCATCACCACAAAGAACAGGGACAGATGGGTCCCACGCCCGGTGCCGTCCCCGTTCAGGTAAACGCGCAGACACATCTTGTAGCCGTACTTGCTCGTGTAGAAAGCTATCAAAAAGTTGCAAAACAGACACAGTCAGTGTCAAACCCAGCAAAGCCTGGCACCAATAGGTTCCTTTGAACTCTAAAGTTTGGATCCTGGAAGAAACCAGGTCTGGGTCTTAAAATACGTGTACCACAGAGGTGGTCCAGAAAGGCAGCAGGTACAAACAACAGTCAGATGCCGTCTTAGACTTGCCTGGAGACAGCCCAAGGTCAGGCAGTCACAAGCCCCTGGTCTAGCCGAGACGCAGAGCGCTGCAGCACAGAGCAGGCCGCCCGCCAGCCCCTCGGGCTCTCCCCACCCGCCACCGCAGGCACAAGCGCCCCAGGCAGAGCCCGAAGCCGGAGCTCTGCCCGGGAGCTGGGCGCTTCCCACTGCGTCCCCCCCCGCAGACCCACCAGTTGTGCCGCACGTGACTGCTAAAGGAGCCGCAGTTCATGGCAGTAACACTGACAAGCAGGAACGAAACCACCCCAAAAACACCCCAACTGGGGGTAGACCATCCTCAGTACTCACTGCAACCTCTTTGTAAGCTGGCTGCCTCTGATGGGGCAAGAGCTCAAGTGAGCTTCGGTCTCCCATTAGGATGCCAGCCACTCTGCATGGCGTGGGCACGGCTGGGTACGGGCTCTGGGATCTCAAGCTCTCTCCTTCTCTCAATTCTGGGAATGCCCATGTTGTGACACCAGACCCATGGCAGGGCCACAGAAATACATCTTAGAAGGGGACCTGCTGCAAACGGCCCTCCCACAGCGGCACAGAGCTACGTGCCTCAGGTCTGGTGAGGCTCAGCAGCCTCAGGGCATGGAGTAGGAGATCAGAGACGGCATTCTACCGCGGGTCTCGGTGCACAGGCAGACTAGCACTAGCAGGGATACCGTGCGCTTCCACAGGGCGAGGAGCAAGAGATCAGGGCTTTGTCACCCGCTTCCCTCCTGGCACTCCCCAACTCGTTTCCCCTAGTCCTTCCTCTCCACCTGCTTCACCCAAAGGCTTTCAGGGCAGATGCCACCCTCTGCTAGTCCAAGCAGCACATCCTCACCGCCCACCGGGGGCTTCTCAGCACTCCTGTAACCCTGTGAATGTGAAACCAGGAGGGGAACTGGGGGAAGGACAGCCCCAGAGCAGTGGGAGTACCCAGGAAAAGGGACCAGGTAGCCAGAGTGCTAAACGCCTTGTGCACCACACCATCAGCTCAGAGCAATTAACCGGGCATCCTGCTTCCCACCGGCCTGAGCAAAGGCGAAGCACATCAGAAGCAAAGCAAGAGCCCAGCAAGCCGCCCCCGGCACCTGAAGGCCAGCAGCGGGTGGCTTTCCAGCAGGAGCTTCGCTTGGACTGTCCCGGTTCACGCCCCCAGTGAACCGTCTTGTGCAGATTTGCCTTTTTGAATGCTTATGATTCTGCCCTTTGCAAAATCCTGTGGCAGTTGTCATGTCCTCACAACGCGAGTGAGTGGTAACTCTACTTCCTTCTCTTTAACACTGATTTCATTTGGTATTTCTTCACCTTTACGTTTAGATACAAAACAAACAATTCTACTCATTTCCCTTTTTCATCCCATTTGCAATGCAGACCTCTCTCCTCCCAGCCGTCTCCTTCCCAGGCTGAACAGCACTAGCCTATTTGCTCCACTTCCTAAGATGAAAAACCCCACCTCCACAAGAAACATTTGTTTCTCAGCCTAATTTTCTTAGCTAAAGCAGCACCAGGAATGAGGATCTCTCATCTAAATGACACAATCAACTACTGCAGGAAAACAAGGCCTTGTACTTTGCGCTTGCAAGATAAAAAAAAAAAAGTCCTGCCTTTTCCAGAGACAGTCCCAGCATTAGGCAGAGGCAACCCTCACCTTCCCATCCCTCCAGCCACATACAATATTTTCATTAGCAGATTGCAGAGACCAACCAGCAACACAAAACACAGTCTGGTGGCCCGCAAAGTATTTTCTCCTTTGATGAAACAGTTTATAAAAGCCCTGGGCCCTGCCTTTGCTGCCCTGCCACCGCTGCCAGGCACGGGATGGAGACCGGCCAGCACACAGCACGGAGGAGGAGGCACCAGCAACCACGAGCTGCAGTTCTGGGAGGAACCGTGCATTCGGAGCACGGCCGAAGAAATGACTGGACAGATTAAACCTCTCGCATTCAGAGGGGTTTCACCCCTTTCCCTCCCTTGGGCTGACTCTGCTACTTATATCCCTCCACCAGCTGACTTGATTCTCCAACCTAGGAAAACAAACCCCACGCCCCTGCGAGGACCCCAGGTGGCATCAGCTCGTGGAGGGGCCCGAGGAGCCCCCGAGCTGGGGCACAGCGAGCCAGGATGCCCGTGGCCAGAGGACAAGAGTCAGCTCTGTCTAGCATCTCCCTCCAAACCGCAGCCTCTGGAGATGTTCAGGTTAAGCAGCTCTCGAGCACGGTGCAGGAGATGGACAGGATGCAAGAATTAAGGTCCTCTCTCTAAGTCAAACAAAATAGATTTGAAGCAGATTTGTTTGCTTTGGGAAAAGGAAGGAAGTGCTGCCCTTCCCGAAGGGGACAGAGAGCAGGGGCTTTCCATGGCTGCTGCTGACTTTTAGATGGAAATGCTAATTGCATGTGCACAGTTTCAGTAGCAGTTCAGTTCCCATCAAGAAGGGGAATCCTTTTTTCCTTCAGTTTTTCAAGGGAAAAAGGACTCTGAACAGCCTTCATCCAGAAAACAGACTTTAAAACAGTTTTTAAAATTCAATTGCTTTTACCTTGTGGCCCAGCCACAGCCTGCTTTTTCACAGCACCAGGAAGCAGGCGTAAGGTATGTGCTCTAGGTTTGCATGCAGCTCTGGGCATTTTGAAAAAGCTCTCCAGCATGCTTAGATCGCAGCAATTCCTGCTCAGGCAAACACAAACTCGTCTCCTCAACCATTACATTGCGAGGTAAGCTCCCCACCGAGCAATGAAATTGTGTGAAGAGACGGTTTCATCTTACAGCTGCAAGTCTGGGAAGTGCTTTCATAAGCGAACAAGCCAGATCACAACCTCCTGCTCGCTGTCTGAGATGTTATTTTTTAAGAACAGGAGGAACAGTGCTGGGCTGCGGCAGTTCTGCGAGGAGAGCCCCTTCCTCTAACAGATATTCAAGCACTTCCCTAGGTATGGTTTGGGCTTTATTTAGACATTGTCTCTTGCACCGTCATGCTTTAGGCACTGAAATATATTTCTGGGTCTCTAATATGTATTTCCTCCCTCCCTTAACCATTTTATTGCCAGTTTTATGGTCTCTGGAGTATTTTAATTCTAACTAAAGGGTTATGCAGGGCTATTCGGAGCTAAGAGGGTTGCCTTCCCTATTACGAGAAATGAAAAAGGTCGTCTGCAATCAAAAAAGCACCTCTTTCAGCAGAGCAGTTTCATTTAGCCCAATGCTAATAAAAAAAAAGTTCCAGGCTCCGTGGGGAAAGGGAGACAGAACAGAAGTAGATCTGAATGGCCAGCATCTCCCCTGCTAAGGACACTGCTACAAATCCCACACCCAGCTGAGACGCAAAAGGCTTTTGCAGTTTTGCAAATTTGTGGGCAATAACCTGGAGAGAAGATCGCAGGGGAGCGGCCTGTTATCGCCTCCTGACGCTTCCTGGCAAATTCTGTTATCTTCCAGATGAAAACACCATCGTAGGTGGAAGCTTCTATGTTGCGGATCTTTTCCTCCATCTCAGCCATGGCCAGATCTTTGAGCCCAATGCTCCTTTCCAGCTGCCGGACCTGCTCAGTGGGATACACGGTGCAGCCTGGTTAGAGACACGTACTGCTGTGAGACCCAAGAAAGCCAGCAGACACCAGCATCCCCTTCAGGACGACTCTTTAGTGAGAGACGTTCTCCAGAATTGACAGGGGTCACAGGAGGGAGAAATTTAGCATCGTAAGCCAATTGACTGAAGCTTCCTTTTGAACCCTGTCACTATACATCGATACAACTCTGCTTGAGCTGGAAACTTTCGCAGAGCGAATGGAAAAATCCTCCCAACGAGCAGCTCTGTTACGTTAGCAGCACAAGAAGTGAGGATGGGCTAAAAAAAAAAAACCAACCAGCTCAGCATTGCAACAAAATTAGATTAAGAAAGAGAAGAACCTACACCCAGCCAACAAAGTCTCCACAGGGTTAACCACTGCTAGCTAACATAGGGTCATGCCCGTGTTGGCAGCTGCCTTGCCAAGAGAGCACAGGTACGCTGCTAACTGCCCAACTCCCAGCTGCCAAGACACACTGGCAGTGCTCAGCAGGGCCTGTGCTGGAGCATACCGGTGGGGGCAGCTTCTTCACACCTCCAGACCATGCCTGGCACAACACTGTAGTGCAGCATCAATGATTACAACTCCTTTTGAAAGGTCTGGAAGGTGAGCAGCCCCGTGGATTCAGAGAGATCCAGTGGAATGCTGGGTACTCCGTCTCTCGTTGGAAAACTTCACCTAGGAACAACATCTTGGTGTCTGCATAACTTGATTACTAACAGAGATCTGAATGCTTCATGCACGCCAGTTTAATTCCCATCCTTTCCAGGAAGCTTTTGAGGGCTGGGCACAGGCACAAACAATATTTTATTTCTGCCTTCAGATTTGTGGAGATTCAGGGCTAGGCGGTGGAGCTTTGCTAGCTAATAACATGGAAAGGAAACGGAAAAAAGTCTCTGCTCAGAGTGCTGGAAAGCCCAAGCCAGTGGTTACACACCTTGCTACTCAGCGTTTCGATTTTCTCCTGGTCTAGTCGATGTTGCCGACTGTAGGCTTCGGCTGTTAGAGACACTCCTTCCACCTCCCGATTGAGCACGCAGACAATGTTCTCAAAGGTCACTGTTTTCCTCTCAAGGGCCTCACATCTTCCCAAGAGCTCCAGGGACCTGGAGAGCTCCGACTCCGAGCACAGAGAGTTTGCTGCCAGTAGCGGGGAGCTGTTTTGTGATGAGGAAAGGGCAGGAAGGGGCTTTAGGTCTCCAGACCCAGCCTTGAGGCTGAGCACAAAACTCAGTAGCATGTAGAGATGCTCCGCCAAACACTTGCTTTCGTGTTCTAGTAGCTTTTCATTTTCCACCTACATGAAGAGAAATACATCCCCCATTCAGCAAGCTCAATCTACGCTGTCACCATCCACAGAACAAATTCCTCCTCTTGAGGTCACAACGTTAGCTTTAAATTATAAAGGGGAAAAACCAAAGAAAGATAGTTAAAAACCTGTTTTGGGGGTGGGTTTTTTGGTTTTGTTTTAGAAATGCTGCAATCGCATACAATGACGGATGCTTAACGTTTCCCCAGCTGTACACGCTGTTCTACTCTGTCTTCCTCCATTACTTCCCCAAAAGGGCTCCGTCGGATGTACTTAACAGCACCAAAGGACAAAGCCTCACGTAATCCTCCTGAGGAGGGATTTACATGAACATCACCAGCAGGAGCTGGGAAAACTAAGTCACATGGAAAAATACGGCCTGGCCCAAGCTCTAGCAGAGAGCAAGACGCCAGATGCCCAGTCCTGTGCTTACAGCTGAAAGCAGCATAACCACCAGAGTCTCAAACCACTCGGGGTGTTTCTCAAGAAGGAGGTTTCCTCCCACATTAAGTTCATTCTCTGGACACCCAAACTCTGGACAGCAGATGATGTTAAGCTCCATTTGCAAAGGGTTTGAAACACCACTTTGTTTAAATATCTGAATGCAAACATCTATAACAGTTCGGGCAACAGCAGTTTGCATGTTAACTCTAACACTGGAACTGAAAACAAATCCCGAGATAAACATCAACAGACAAGCCCTTACCACCTCAGCACATCCGACAACCTCAAATCTGCAAGGCACTTTAGATCTGCCACAAGTCTTCACATGGTCCCGAAACTAGAAAGGAAGGCAATGTTAGATCTTATGTGTCCCCAGTAGCTCCCTCTCCATCTCGCTGACGTCTAGGAAACTGAAGACAATCTCAAGAACGCCCAAGCCACCGCTAATCGCTAGCTGCCAAAGTGCATGGTTAAACCTGGGCACTGCCTACCATTAGGTATGACTTTCACTGTAATATAAATACAGTACTGACACCTGGTAGGAAGTTTTATTTCTCTTTCTCTTGACAGTTAGGAGGTCTTGCTTCTCACCTGCATGTGCAAGAAAGAAAAAGCAACCGGCACAGGTACACGTTATGGATGCTGAGCACCAAGCTTCACTGAGGGCAGAGGAAGGGGAGGCATGAGGAACAACCCTATGAGACAGATAGCCATTTAATTTTGTCCACTTCATGTAACCCTGGTCGGGATGTGCCACAGCTTGGTATTTTTACTTCCAGCTAAGCATTATAAATCTGAGAACAGAATGCTTCCTGGTGGTCCTGCCTGAGTATTTATAGCAATTACTGCAGGTCCACCCATGCAAGGGAAGATGCTCTGCTGGGTCCAGCATCCCCTCACTGGGGTGCCGACGGACGCCGCACCTCGGCCGCCTCTCATCTGGCAGCTGCCATGAAGAACCAAGGCCAACCGTGGATATTTCTACAGAGAAGTGCCACCAACCCCCCAGCCGCCAAGATGACTCGTTTGGGTTCCCACACAGTGCATGATTAATGATAACAAGCACTGGCACATTATCATCTCGGTTTTGATATACCTCTCATCATCAGATATCAGCGGTCTGTTCTGAACAACAACCATATTCCACATTTAACACCTACATCTGCTACAACAGATGTCGATTAAAACTGTTTTTAAACCACTTTTTTAAAAGCTTCTAGATCCATCTGGCTTGCTTAATGAGTCAGGTTACTCGGAGTTACAACGGCTGCAGCCGTTTGTCGTCAACAAAAGTTTGGAGAGAGATAAAAGAGGGAGTTAAATATTTAAACAAAGGATAGCTCCCCTATGGGAATCCTACAAGCCTAGTCTGTGCTGAGCTCCAGCTTCAGCCTGCAGACAAGCAAATCTGTATCCCAAGACCCCAGCACGAAGTCCTTCATTGCGCTGCCCATTTAGAACTCTTTGCTCATCTTTTTGATGCTTCTGTTCCCCCTGCCCTTTTACAAGGGCCTTTTGCAACAGTGCTACTAAAAATATTTGCCCGTAGCAGGCAGGACGGTTTCAGATGAAAGTGCTTTTTGACGATGTTTCCCAAAACTTTAATTTTCAGACTTTTGAGCCTTGCCCCAGGAGCCAGCAGCATGAAGACCCTATAGACATGGATTTCATTACATGATTAATTAGAAATAAATTAATTTAGCTGGAGATGGGTTCCCTTCCCGTAACTGCAGCAGTGGTTGATATAGTTGCTTTACATAGGACATAAGTACCCTCTAAACCCACGAGCGTGCTTTTCCCATGGAGGCTCTGCACCCAAACACGGCAAACACACTGCTCAAAGGGAGGTGGCGTCGGCAGCACTAACGCAAAACTACAAGTGCCGATGAGTCACATTCACTCGCACCCGACCAGTATTTTGAGTCTCATGGAAAGGTCACATCTGTACTAACGGCTGTCGTTTAATTGTTTTCCCCACTCCACTTTCTAATGGTCTCGGTTTTCCGCCCTGCTCCGAGACCGCTGGCGTCAGCCCACCAGGATGCCAAACACCACCGCGGCACGCGGTTCACCGACAGCGGGATGGATACCTTCTCCCTTGGAATCTTCTTCCCACAGCCTTCGCAAGTCAGCGGAAATTCAGGGCAGACTTCGTCATGAGCCTGTGAAAGAATCGACAGGAGAATATTTGGTCCTCTAAATAAAAGCTCCAATGAGGTTATATGATGAGTACTATTCAACCGGGGTAGTTTTATATTTTATTACAGAAAAGCGCTGTATTCTACCAACCTATACTCAAATCTTGGTCATGCCGATAATTCTGCATGCTGACTCATTTGTGTGATCTCCAGGCTACCAGCATTTTGGGTGCCTATGTAGCCTCAGCCTCAATTTAAAAGCTGCTATAATTAAAAAAAAAAAAAAAAAATTACTGCTTTGATGGACAAGATAATCAACAGGAAGCTCCATTTATGGCTCTGCCAGGAAAATACACGTTCAGGCAGGTTGAGTGAAGTAAGCCACTATCTCAGCAAGATAATTTGTATAATTTTTCCACTGTAATGGTTATCAGTCAGCTGAAGTATGAACCCATAACCTACTCATCACACGCTGGGCTGAGCTGTCTGATAGTATCTTCCCATTCAAATCAGAAAACCATTTTTCAACCAGAAAAAAAAATATTTTAAAATTCATTTAATAGCCCCTGCACACAAGCACCCACCCCTGCAGCCAGAGCACACACAGTCTGTTTGGCGTCCAGCGGAGCTGAACAAATGATCGGGGCAATGTGATACTCTGTCCTCAGCAGATACTAGGGCCAGCAATACCAGCTAAATCGGGAATGCTAGAACGTGCCTCTGCTTTCTGTGTCATTTCCACACCGTTTAAACCTTCTCTTTACACACCAACCCGTTGAAACAAGGTATTGTAAATGCCACGAATATGCAGTTCAAAATTCAGATTAAAAAAGGTAAGTGCACTGAAGTATCCCGCCATGGTAGTAACAGGAAAAAAAAAAAACCCAGAAGCATTTATAAAGTAGTCATCTGAAACCAGATGCTTTTCAAAACTCGGTCACATTTATTCTTTATTAAAACAAGTTACTATCTTTGGGGGTGGGGGGAAACATGCACCAACTTAAATACTGTTACCACATCAGAAACTGGAAAGTGAAACCCATTAGTGGCTCAGCTTTGGCTTCTTAGTTACTCTCTCCTTTTTATGCTTCAAATGAGTAACCAGACCCAAAGCCTCACTGCACTGTCCCCGGAGAAGCGGCCGGCCAGCCTGCACGGTTCGGCGGGGCAGCGCTGCCTGCAGAGGCGGCGGCGGAGGCAGAGTGCCTTCCTTCATCCCACTCGCTTCAGAGGGGCTGAACCCTTTCTTCTACCCACCTACTGCTCTCATGTTCTAGAAACACCGGATAGCATCTTCCCCACGACCCACAAAACGCTGGCATAAGAACAGACGGTCTGGCTGAAGGAAGGAAACTTCGCTGTAGAGACAACTATTTAAAAAGGGAGTATTTAAAACTTATGTTCTCCCCGTGCCAATGTGCTAGGTGTGAAACTACCGCCCCCTCTGCGCTCCCCACCTCCCAGCGTTTATCTTCCATCCCGACTCCACGCTACACCGCGATATAACAGCCAACAGGCAGGCAGCCCTGCGAAGCGTGCCCAGCTTGCAGCATGAGAAGGGAAACCAGCCCCGCACAGCTAAGCTGAAAGTGCAACTGGTCCGTATGTAAATTGTTTAAGACACCCAGAAGCATTAGCTTTAACCAGCACAGTTCCAAACCTCTAGACAAAGGGTTTTGTATAAACAGTTTCGGGCTCTTCTGGAATCCCCTGTTCCTTCCCCCTCTACGCGGGTGTCTAAACAGAGACGGATGGTATCGCCGCTGGAAGAAATCCACCCCACCCAGGAGCCGAAGAGCAGGGGTTGGCATTCAAGCCTGATCTGCTGCATCCACTCCCCCAGGAATGGGGCAATCCTCCTGTTTACACCTTTCCCAAACCCACATCCGTGAGCTTCTGCAGCAGGGACCAGCATCTCTGACACCCAGGCGTTCGCTGTGAACATTTTAGGCAGCTTTGGAAGGCCATCGCTGTGAACGGGGCTAAGCGAGAGCAGAGTCTGTTCCCAAAAGTGAACCTGTTGTGGAAATCAAGTCAGATGGGGGTTGGAGAGAGGGGACGGCAACAGAAGAATTAAAGCAGAGCTGGAAGACAACAGTCTGACTCAGACCTTCAGGGCTACTCTCCAGTTACCTCAGCGTTGACTCCTCACCCACCAGCTGTAAACCTAGGCACAGACCAGCCTTCAGCATCCAACAGCAGGGGTAGGAAAATCAAACCAGGCAGAGTTAACAGCCTGCACAGCAACACCTCGCTCTTCCCACTCAATTAAAACCAAAACCGCCGATTGATCCGCACATCATCTTCGCTCCCTAAAAATAAACAGCGAGACAACCCAGCGGCAGCCTGTACCATCACATGCCACCATCAGAACAGGTGATCCTCTGGGAGCCCAACTGAGGGACTAGAAAATCAGACACCACTGCCGCCCTCGGAAGGACCAGGGCAGCCTACGAGCACTTGCTCAGGGCGCGGGCGCTCGTGGGTTACCGCTGTGGCCGCTCAGTCCTTCAGCACCGACCCGCGCTCCTCTCCGCAGCAGCGCCAACGGGCTGCAACGGAGGTATTGATCCCTCTGCCCCTTGCCTGTGGGCCTGCTGGCGAACAGAGCCTGTGCGCACGCCGTTAACACTCCTACGTCAGCATCAGGAAAGTAGAAAAGCAATTTGCAGTATTTGCAGTTGAGGTTCCTCTCCGGGCAGTCCTGCTCAGAGCGGGGTCCTTCCCACTCAGCGGGATCATCCCCCTACACCCCTAGCACTCAACCAGCAGGAACGGGCAGTTCCCTTCACAGCAGCTCTGCGACAGCAGGGGCAGCACATTTCAATGCAGCCGTGCAGAAAAGTACAGGCACACACAGGGAAAAAAGCGGGTTTCAGTAACAGCAGCTGATCCCTGGAGGATGCAATGATCGTTTCCTAAGGAATGCCAGGAGGAGCTGCTCTGCTGTGCCTGTGTAAGACAAAAGGGAAAACTGCAGTTTAAACCGATTGCCGTTCCGCCTCTAAATGCTTTGCTAAACTTGGCCTGAACTATGGAAGAGGCTACCGCTGAAAATTATCATCCCCGTATTGAGGTGGCAGAGCAGGAGGTGCACCTGCTCCCCAGCTGCCCTGCTCACAACCTGCCGTATCAACGCAAGTCCGTTTTTATGGAGGTCTTGCAACCGTGTTGGGAAATCCGTCAGAGCGACACAACGCTCCCCCCTCCAGCTAAGAGGCGAGGCAGGCGGCTGAGAAAAGCAACCTTCGAAACAGCTGCTGCGAGATGCCTCTGCCAGAGCCCTGCAGGAAGGTTATTGCAAAGGGCAGGGCTGGCAGAGACGAGGCGCAGCAGAACAGGCCGGGTGCGAGCCGCACACCGCAGCTCTTCTGCAAACAGTCTCCTGCAGGCTGAGCTTTGAAAGTTAGCCCATTAGTCCCCTCCATGCATGGCAACAGCAACCATAAGCATAGACAAAGCCGAAGGGCTTGGCAGCGGGAAGGGAGCACCAAAAAGGAAGGAAAATTAACAGGAGGGCAGAGGAAAGCCAGCTGAAGTGGCACAGTGTTCACCGGAGCCCTGTCAGGGCTTTGGCAGTTCCCAGCCCCGGCATCGCCGTGTCCAGCACACGGCTCCTTTGGCATCTTAGCCTGCCTACAAGAAAAAGGGTAAGCCCACAGAATTGTAGAGAAAACACTAAAAATGGGTCTCCAGTGTAAAAGAGACACCTGCCTAGGTTTCGAGGGAACCTGAACCCCTTGCGCCAAGAAGCATGAGTTGCTTCATGCACCTCTGCCCGGTCCCCAGGGGCTCCGGAGCCTCCAAGAGGGGAATGTGCCGTGAAACACAGGTACTTTGGGATGTCCTGCTCCTCTGAAGTCAACGTGCCCTTCTGTGCTGTGTCTCCTCCTCGTCAGGGGAGTCCTGAGGCTGGTTTTAAGCCAGGCCAGCTCAAAGCTTTCCCCACACAGGTGGGCTGGGCTACCACGCACGTGGTCCTTGCGCTACTGCATGGAGCCCAGCAACACAGGGCTGGAAAGCAGGAACCCAGTCTGTAATTCACAGTGCCAACCGGGAACAGGAGCGTTCCGAGACCGCCACATCAGCTGGTGCCAGACACAAACTGCTGCCTTCGCTGGGGGACACTGGTGACAGATCCAAGCAAGTCCACTTGGCATCACAAATAATTAAACCTCAAAGAAAGTGTCAAAACCAAAGATTAAGTTACCATCGGTAACTGCTTGTGGCTTTAGTGGGCACGCGTATGGCAGCAGTGGCACGGGAAACCAGCACCGCCCTTACTCTGCTGTCCAACGCCATGGCGTCCGCCTGAGTTGAGGACAAAAACCGGCAGAAGAGATGTCAGGGGTTCCCAGGGGCCTTGCTCACGCCTCTTTTCAGGACCAGCAGAACAACTTTTGCTTTCAGCTTTCTACGGTTTTGTTCATCAGCTTTTAGGGCTGATTAGACAGACATTTGATTCGGGGTTTATTGGTAGAGGGACATCAAGGCAGCGTTTCTTGCATTGAATAAGGATGTGGAAGCAGTAGCAGGTTTTGAAGACGGCTGAAGGTACAAGAAACATTTGAAAGCAGCAGCAGGTTTTCTAACATTTCCTAAAACAGACTCTGCCTTTCTCTGTTTGCTTTGAACTATGCGAGCTGTGGGACACTCTAGGATGCTTTCTCCAAATCCCTCCATCATCTCAGAGGAATAATTTTCCTAGGCAGACTCTAGTCTGAAACAGAGCGGGGCCAGACCCCCAGAGCATTTTAGATATGCCCAAGTCTGAACCTGACCTGGCCCCACGGCCAGCTGAAGCCCGTGCACCACTGTCCCTTGCCTCAGATGCAGCTAGCTGCATTGCAAAACAAAAAGACAAAATCCGCTTGCTAAAGAAATTAAAAATTACAGCACTGGACTACGCCGAGTCTCTGTAAACAGCTGGCTAACACATAAGGGAGGTTCAAAGCAATCGGGAACGTCTGATCACAGATAATTCCGCAGGTCTTCTAGGCTACAATTAACAGTTACAGTCATGA